GATGAATGTACTTGGATCCTATGTCTGCCAAGTTCATAGAGCCACTGATCCTCCTCTATTAAGCTCTTCGCTGGATCCAAGCACAACCACAAAACCATTGTCATTGTCCAATTAAGATCTGCCATTTTAGACCCCCGCCCCGCCACCACTCATGGGTGAGTCACTGGCTACGGGAGATCCCTTGCCAGAGTCCGGCGATTAGGAGATCCACATCACCTCCTGTGTATGGTGACTCCAGTGTGGATGACCGTCGTGACCCTAGCATGAACTCGTCTCAATCATTGCCACCATGCTCTTTCTCAGATCTGCACACGGTTTGCCAGAGAACGCCAAAGACGGATCAAAAGTGGGGACTCACAGCTGTGCTGGTGAGATGAGTGTAGGGGCAGTGGGTGAAGCACTAGCGAGAGAAGTGGAAGGGGGGGGCAGCTGTGCTAGACAGAAGTTGGCAGTGAACGTGTGAAACAGAAGTGTGGTGCCTGTTAGGGTTGCGATGTCAGCCAGTTAGGGGGTTGGCGTTTTCATGGGCTTTTGGGCCGGTATTTACTAAGATGCGATGCTTTTAGTTGTCCGTAGCTGAGTTTCAGAGACAGGCCATTTCTACGTTAGCCTTAGATGATTTTCAGAGACAGAGGTGTTTTGTGACGGCCTGTGTTAACAAAAGAGAGAGTCTCCTGAAATCAATTTTATTGCCGTGTATAAATAATATTTGGTCTACTGACAAAATGGCGATGAAACAAATAATATTTTACTTGCAGGAGACATAATCAGTAATATTTACTTATTTTTTGGTCATGTTGGAGTTTTTAGAGAATAACTCTTACCTGCTGAGACTTGGTGACAATGACTACGGAGAAGATAGAACCACAAAGAAACCGTATGAAGATCAGTCACTGACATCAGCATCAATAATTTGTGATAGCACACTGTTGATCTCCTCTTCAAAAAGATAATCCAAGCAAAGGCACTCCAATGCGTAGATCAGATGGACCCTCTGAAATAGGCTACAAGTACTTCGACATGATAGTAGTTTGGCCATCTTCCTTAAGTTTTTGCGCTCGTTCTTCCATCAATTTCTAAGCAAAAAACAATCACGTTAGAAAAATTACAAAGTATTAGTTGAGACTCGAGCGGGAGGCTAATAATGTTCCCTCCATTTCTTGCTATATATAGGGTCACTATATATTTAAAAGGTCAAACTGCATAAGCTTCAAAGGACAAAATAGTCACCATAATGTTTATTGTATAGTCTGTTTTAATATAGGACAATACTTCTTCATAGATCTAAAAGGACTACGATTTTTTGGCAATTGATGCTATATTTTAAAAACATCTATGGCCAAAGAATACTTAGATAGGATTTTCTAAATCTTAATTAATATACATACTACCTCTGTCTCTAAAAGAATATAAGTCTCACTTCAATGTTTAGGATGCGTAATAAATATCACTATATTGATTATGGAATATATTTTCATAATAAATATATTTCAAGATATAAATGTCGATACTAGTTTGTATAAAGCTATTCAAAGTTTAGGATTGCTTGACTCGTTGGGAAGTGAGATTTAATATATTCTTCTTTTGATGGAGGAAGAAGTACCATGTAAAATAAACAGAGGGACTAATATCTTTTTTTTACCACGGTCGAAACCGAATTTCATTACTAAACGCAATAAAATTAGAGTTTTGTGATACGCATGCTAAAGCCATCTCTCCTAGACAACCAGGGTCCAGGAAGAGAGGCAACCTTAAGCTACCAGAACGTAAATAGAGACTAACAGCTACGAACTGTTAAAGTTTAGCAGCACTGCAACTCCTATTAACCCCCTCCATTACAAGCTTTTTTTTCAGAAAAGGAAATAGGGTGGGAACCTATATGATCAACACATATACACACGAGTGCTTTCGGCGGCAATATTCTGTATCATATGCATGCATGTACACGTGCTCATAATTATCCTTCTAGAAAGGAAATTGCTAAAAGAAGTGTATATTTTAAAACAAAGGAAGAATATGTACTCGCTCCGTTTGAATTTATAGGTTGTTTTGACTTTTCTATATACATAACTTTATATCTAGGTGTATAGCAAAAGCTATTTACCTAGAAAAATCAAACTGACCTGCAATTTAGAACAGATCGAGAGTGGTACATGTTATTGTTATTAGCTGCAGTAATTAAGTACATATTGATGAACAACCCAGTTGCAGGGGCGTTGTGGGGCTGCTGTATTCAAGGAAGAAATCTCCCCACACAGAAGGGTGGAAACCGCCGGCGGGGTTCTCGCTCGAGCGTCGACCCTTATCATCCTCGAATGAGTAGCGCTGCTGCTGGCTGCCATGGCTGGCACAGGCCACCATTCTCGACTTTGGCCGGGATAGCAGCATGGCGTGCCGGAGCAGGCACGTCGACGTTCTTGGACCGGTGGTGACGACACAGACTATGGTGGCGTCTACTAGTGTTGCAGGGCTGCTGCGGCCACAAGGTGGTAGTAATCACACTCCACCCCATTTCGTAAAGCAACAAATGCAGCTACCTATCTACCCTTGGTTGGTTAAATAATCATTCTTAGCACCAGACTGGTTTATATAGACGTGCTGACCCAATAATCAGCGTACGCTGCTTATCCACCCGATGTCCTATATGTACGGATATATGTGATGCTGGCCACTCATCTGCATGCATGGTGGATAAGCCATGGTAACGACGTAATCGATGTCCTATATGTACGAGCCATGTTTCCTGCTTCCTAGGATTAGCACTATGTCTATGTATCGACGTAATCGATGATGCAATTATTTTTATGGTGGCCTACAACAGCTTGCACTACTGGAAAACTGTACTTTGTGCATGATACTTTGCCGAGTGCAAAATATCGTGGCACTCGGCAAAGCAATATTTTGCCGAGTGTAGCACTCGGCAAAATTTTGCCAGGCACTCGGCAAAGTCAGGCACTCGGCAAATCTGGACTTTGTGCCTGGCACTCGGCAAAGCCAGGCGCTCGGCAAAATTTAGTCGGACCGTGACGGCGGCCACCTACATCAGATTTTGCCGAGTGCCAGCCATCAAGCACTCGGCAAAATTTGTTTTTATTTTTTTTAAAAAAAAACCTTTGCCGAGTGCCATCCTTGGCTACTCGGCAAAATGCTTTTTTATTTTCTGAAAACAAATTTTGCCGAGTGCCTCTGGGCTGGCACTTTCGGCAAGACATTTTTTGCTTAGAGTGCTCCCCATGACACTCGGCAAAATATATATAATTTTTTTTACCCAAATTTTTTTGTGTAGCCTTGTGACAGTATTTAAAGTTCTACTCTAAAATTTGGTGAAATTTTGACTTTTTTAGGTATATTTCATTAATTTATTTCGTTTCGTTGATTTTTTCGGCGTATTTCAAATTTGAACTGCAGGTCCATGGAATAATGGAATTTGGTCATCCAAAAATTAATATTTAAGCGTATGTTGAGGCCGTATCCGAGTCACATCAAATCTCGAGCATCTCGTTGACGTAACATGTCGAGTTAGTTGCGGGAAAAGTGAATTTAAATTATATAAAATGCAAACGAAGTCCGAAAATCATGAAACTTGTGGAGGCGTCGTGTTATCGTATGTGGATCTTTGTGGTAAAAATTGAGAAGATTTCGAGCAAGTAGTGACGTCGGATGCCAAAACCCGGAGACATCTCCACATGTGATCACTTCCGTTTCACATGTGATCACTTCGTTTTGGCATCCGGCGTACTTGCTTGAAATCTTCTTAATTTTTTACCACAGCCTCCACATGCGATAAACACGATGCCTCCACAAGTTTCATGATTTTTGACTTCGCTTGGATTTTATATAATTTAAATTCACTTTTCCCAAAACTAACTCGACATGTTACGCCAACGAGATGCTCGAGATTTCATGTGACTCTCTCGATACGGCCTCAACATACGCTAAATATCATGAATATCAATTTTGGATGACCAAATTACATTATTCTATGGACCTCGCAGCTTCAAATTTGAAATACTGCCAAAAAATCAACGAAAACGAAATAAATTAATGAAATATACCTAAAAGTCAAAATTTCACCAAATTTTAGAGTAGAGCTTTAAATATCGTCACAAGGCTACACAAAAAATTTGGGTCCAAAATAAAAACAATATGGGATTTTGCCGAGTGCCATGGGGAGCACTTAAAAAAATGTCTTTTGCGAAAGTGCCGGCCCAGAGGCACTCCAAAAATTTGTTTTCGTAAAATAAGGGATTTTTGCCGAAAAGCCCAAGGATGACACTCGCAAAGTTTTAAAAATAAAACAAATTTTGCCGAGTGCCTGCCCAAGGCACACTCCAAAGAAAATCCAAAAAAAAGCTCATGGCCTAAATGGCCCAACCGCCCACCTCTCACCCTCCCTCAAACCCTATCTTCAGCCGCCTGTGCCCCGACCCCCCTTGCCTTGCCACACCACATCGCCGCCATGCCCACCACACCACGCCTCACACCAGCCCCATGTGCCTCGCCTCATGAAGCCCGCGCCTCCCTCATGGGCGCCACCTCCCGCCTGCAGCCTCTCAGGCGTCGCCACACCACACGTCAGACGCAGCAGCAGCGCCGCCGCCCTGAGCCCATCCCCTTGACCGGCAGCAGCCAACCTCCCCGCCCATCGCCATGTGGCCCGGCCATCCTCAAGGCCCGCCCCTCCCTAGCCTTGCCCAAGTCCCGTCTTGGAAGGAGAAGGAGGAGGAGGTACTAGGAAGAAGAAGAATGAAGAAGAAGGAAGAAGAAGGAAGAAAAAAGGAAGAAGAAGGAGAAGAAAAGGAAGAAGAAGGGCGGGCGCGCCCCCCGCCCAGCCCCGCCGCCGCCGCCGCCATGCCATGCCTCGCCCACCCCTGCCTCTCCGTGAAGGCCCCGAGGGCGACATGGTGACCGACGCCCCTGCATCGCCCTACCGCCTGTCTTGGGCACCGTTACTCTGCACTTCATTTATCCTCGAATGGGGTTGACGGTGGAGCAAAGAGATGGCGGCAAGGGCAGTTTGTCGCAGCCTGAAGACTTGGACGGACCAACTCGACTTGATAGACTCCCAGAGTAACAATGTGGTATGTACTTGTTTAACCATTAAAACTAATCATTAATTTGCTTCGAGTTTTTGCATACTAGCTAGTTCCAAGACGGGCATGGGACAAACTTAGTATTTGATCATACCTGATTCCAGTAGGTGTCTTCTGAGGCATAAGAACTAGTTAACATTAGTTACCTCAGCCATAGATGCAAATGTACAATTGTACATAGAGTATAAGTTCAGTTCTTTTAAAGTAACTACTATAGTAGCCTTTCATTTGACAGATAATACATATTATATTGAACCTACCTAACCTTAAATGAAATTGTAAAACATCAAACACGGAGATGAGCTGGAACATACTCAACAAAGGTGGCTCATTAAAATCCTAAAATCTCTCGAATCGAACGGTTTGCCTTCTTACGAGGAACTTCATTATCTGCTAAACAAAATAAAAGAAAATGAAAAGTAATCTCTTCGTTCCAGTTCATGAAATATTTCGTCAAATTTCATGTCACCTTCAGTACTCAGTATCAGCCTGTTGTAGTTGTGTTGAACTGATAAATGAAGACGTTGTGTTTAATCGATGAAAACGTTGCAATCGATGAAAACTCCATGGCTACTCTGAGTTTTCAAAACATGTAATGCAATCTCATTTAATTGGTTTAGTACTGATTACTATCTATTTCTCAACCAAAGAAATCTCATTCAACCCATTGTATTTGTGTTGGTAGTAAAAGATAGACAAGGATGGAAATGGTAATTGACTTAAATATTTAACTGCTTATTATATATACTAGGAAACAGATTGACTAATATTGTATAATAATGTCTCCACAATGCTAAATCAACCATTGCTAGCCAGGGCAGATGGAAACGTTATATATATTTTGGCATAGAGAATACATGCATCAATGTAAATCTTACACTTCTTGACACAGAATATACTTCAATGTGCCTGGTATCTGACCTAATAGTTTCATTGTCAATAGAGGGACATTAAAATGAAATGGGACAATCCTTTCATACCTCGATCTCAATTCATGTTAGATATAGGTGATCTGCCAGTAAATTTACAATTGAATGTAAAATGTGTGTGCACCTCCATCTTGTCTAGGATATTTCACTTGTCCTCCATGAACATTAACCTACAAAGTAATTCGCCACCAAAATTTTGAAAAGATGGCCACTCAATTTTATTGAGGGATAACTGGATCATGGGGCAGGAGACATCAATGTCTCTGAGATAGAAACAACAAACATATATATTACGAATCTAACATTGGGCCGAACAATAAGGATGGGCTCTTTCAAGTAGTTATCCATTGTTGTAAGCTTAGTTATGTTTCAAATCACTAGCTGTGAATCACCAATAGAATTACTTTAATATATCGCCATTGTCATATAGTAATCAATAGCGTGGGACTAGACTACAGGTGAAAATGAGTCACTCGAGATGTTAGCCAGACAATCATTTCACTCCTGTATACTAACTAAGAAATAGTTTCTTTAGATAATGGATAACGTCCAGTTTTATCCCTTGCAAATGAAGGGGAATCAGACCAATTATTACAAACATTTGACATAATAGAAACCAATTTCAACATACAACTCAATCCAGACATTAAAAGATCATCTTTAAGGAAGCAAAGAATTGCGAAGCCACTGCTCCTAATAACGTTTGACACACTTGCATGGACGATGCCTCTTTGTTTTCTTGAAACTGTTACAGTTGACACACCTGCAAATAAGATTTTGATTTGCATCTGCCAAAAATTCTTGTAAGGCGTACTGTAAATGGCACAACACCCCTCCTGTTAACAAAAGAGGCTTGTTCATTCTCCCCTACCCCCGTGTTTGTACCATCCAATGCAAAGGCCAGTAACTTTAATAGGTGGTCTCAAACCTAAAACTAGGTATACTGCTTGCTAGAAAATTTTGTGGTACATGCAGTCAAAGAATAGATGCTGAGTTTGTGCTTTGAACTAGTGACATTTGGACATCACTACTATGTGATTGAGATTAATATTTTAATCATTTGGAATGTTGGTTATTACAATGAATGCTATATGATGGTTTAAATTATTCCCCAAATTTCCTGAAATACCCCACATCCTAGTGCCATCTGCCAAATTTGTTTGACTGCATAGTCCTATATTTGTGTATGGTCAGTCTTGTTCGAATTCAGATTATTTGTTTTAGTCAACACTTGAAAAGACATGACTGATCCTATCGCTGTTGATTCACTCTGATATATCGTCAGAAACATCATTTGTTTTGTTGATAACCATGTACCTAACATTACATGTTGGTTTGTTGTAGGAGGAGGCTGCCAAGGGCAAGGCTGCGGGCAAGGCATGGTACAAGACCATGATCTCGCATACAGACTACACCGAGTTTGAGAACTTCACAAAGTGGCTCATGTGACACAGTGATGTTGAACTTGTAATAATAAACTTGTGATGTTGAACTTTGGTGCATTTGTGATGGATTTTCGATGGATTTATTAAATATGCGTGTGCTTGTGATATATAATGCATGTTGTTGATATAGATGTGATGATTGATGTGTGTATATATATATATATATATGTATATATATATATGTATATATATATATATATTGTCTGTTACAATGGAATGTAAAAAAAAATTTGCAATTCTCAGGGTCTTTACCGAGTGTCATGGGCAAGGCACTCGGCAAAGATTTTTTTAAAAAAAATATAAAATTTCTTTGCCGAGTGCCTCACCGCGGCAGTCGGCAAAGTTTTTTTTTTAAAAAAAAATTCAGAAATTCTTTGCCGAGTGCCTAAACAGGGGCACTCGGCAAAGAAATTATTAAAAAAAACTTTACCGAGTGCCTGGGCAGGGGCACTCGGGAAAGTACTTTTTTTAAAAACATAAAAAAAACTTGCCGAGTGCCTGGGCTGGGGCACTCGCCAAAGTAATTTTTAAAAAAAATAAATTTTTTTTTGCCGAGTGCTGGATCGGGCACTCGGCAAAATAACCATTAACGGCCGGCGCTGCAACGGCCGAAAATATTTTGCCGAGTGCCGCCCCAAGCACTCGGCAAAAATTTTTTATGTTTTGCCGAGTGCCCCAATAAAAACACTCGGCAAAGACCATTTGCCGAGAAAAATTTTACCGAGCGGACTTTGCTGAGTGCTACACTCGGCAAAGCCTTTGCCGAGTGCAAAGGGCTCTTTGCCGAGTGTAAAAACACTCGGCAAAGCCGCGGCCTCCGGTAGTGTTGCCACATGGAATGGAAGTATCATCGTCGTTGATCGAACCGTGGTCTTATCTGTCCTTACTATTCTACAGGTGATATTTGGGCGTTGTTCTGAGAATCTGTCAGATATTTTTGAAACTGAATTTTACGAAGTACGACATCACATATGGTTGGAAAAAAAACTAGAGAATAACTGGTAATAAACTAACAATTATTAGCACATACTTTAACTGATACGATAACATATATATATAAGTCCATCTACTACGTATGCCTTTAAGTTAAACATTTCTAACGTTGATACGTTGGTTATAGAACAAATCTAGATGGACTTATATTTATAAATAGAAAAAAGTATAAAGTAGTACTAAAGGGGCAGTGACACCGTAATATAACGGGTTTGTGAACTAGGGCGGTGTCCAGTGTCCTAGAACTAAGGCCAACGGTGCACATCTAAAAGTATACAAGCTAGAGTTTTACCATTTCTAGAGTTTGATATATGTCATAATACCTGGAAATTATATCATAAGTTTTACCATTTGATATACAAGCCAGAGTTTGCATTCTCTATTCACTTTACTTTTTTACCAAGTTTTTAGGTACCTTGGTAAAAAGTATATACAAGCAAGAGTTTGCATTCTCTAACTTGCTAGTCAGTAGAGAATGCAGACTCTAGCTTGTATACTAGAATGGGAGCTTGTATACATTTTACCATTTGATATATTCATAATACTTGGAAATTATATCATAAGTGACCATTTGTGACGTCAAGTTGACGCAAAATCAAATGTCAAAAGATGAGCGTCTTTAATGATAACTTTTGACATTTAGATGTTCATATCATAAAATTATGACCTTGATTTTGGATGTCATAAACGATTATGACATCTGATGTTATATCACAAATCCTTGGACCTTGCCACAATAGGGGCTTATTTAAGCCCACCTAGCAGGCAGGCCAAGCCCATAGTTGGGGCTCATATTTAGCCTAGCCCATTTCAAGTTTTGAAGCTTTTTCAGCCCAATTTTCTATTTATACAGCCCGACCATGCAGATGTGCATTCTCATAGGCTGATTCCATAGCCCAGCCCACACCATATTTGCTGGGCCAATCCATATCACATTTTTTCATAGACCAGCGCCCAGCACAGATAATCCAAATTACAGAATAAATACAAGCAAAGAATATATGCATATTCACAGATCCATCGTAATTACATTCATCGCCAAATCCAGATCCCAAGTGACTTGCTCACGGTAGTCAAATAATAAAATACAAATCAATATCTTACATCCTCAAATCGGTTGTAGTTTCCTAAGAGATGACTAAAATCATACCAAAAGCTCACAGTAATCCCCAAAATCACATCAGTATCATGGCTACAACCTCGCTGTGTCATAGGCCCATGTCCATATTAAAGGCAGGAAAAGATAACTATCTCACAGGCTTCAGAACTTATTGGAATTTATTGGATCATCACTCTTGGGCATTGCAATCAACATCCAGCATGCGCAAACTGCATAAGAAAAGCAACACATTCAGATATTGGCAAAAAAGAGCTCTAACCACCCAATCAAAAACAATTCTCTCCAAAAACCTCCATGCCAATGATCATAATAAGTAACGCTATATCAATTCTTTAGAGCAACTCCAACAACCTTTCTAAACTCATCTTTGTGAAGCTATTTTTAGCTATTGTGGCACAAAAAGAAAGTCCAACCGTCCTTGTATCTTGTTTTCCTTTTTACCCAGCTCAGTATCTTGGCAAACTCGTTGGCCATATTTCCGAACCGCTCCTGCTCGCTATCCATGACGCCGTGCAACTCTCGTGCGCGCACTTTTGTAACACCCCGGGTGTTAGTCACAAGTTAAGTTGTGGATTTGGAATTAAGTAGGCTATGTCAAGCAATGATCATGATCTCTAGTCATAATTTTTAAGTGATGATGAAGGTGTTGAGGTCCAATCTATGAAATTGAGTCCCAACTTGAACTTGGACAACACACCTTTGCTTACATGTGGACCCTGGTTAAGATTAGGCATGAGTAATGTTAAACATGCTTATTTCCTGAACATTACATCAACATGCATCCATCTTGACCAGTGAAAAAGTTTCATGAAGTTTGGAATCAAGAAGTCACATGAAATGATAAGTTATAACCTTTCTTGAATTGCTTCATCAGGTGAATGGGAACATGGGATGTCGACCAAACCTTGTGACCTTGCTCAAACCACTCTAATTGAACTCATGAATAAAAGTAACGAAGGGTTCATGTTAATCAAATGTCAAGAAAATGCTTCTAAGTGTGGGAATAGCTAAAATTGTCTTTTTCATGATATGGTTTTGACCTGTGTTGACCAACTATTTGGAGTGCTTGCATGGAGTTGGACCTTAAATAAAAGTTGGAGTTTGCGTGGAGTAGAACAAACTTTATTTTTGGACCAAGCCCTGATTCAACTCCTAAGTAGCTCAAAAAGTGGCCTCAAGTTTGAATGCAATGTTGTTTTGGCCTCTCAGAAATCTTTCTAAGTCTTTGATCGACAATAGCGAGTTGACATGTTATGACATTTTTATCTTCCAAATTAATATGATGACTCAACTATATTTCTTAATATGAGTTGAAGTACACTGTGTGCTAGAAACAATGAAACATGTCTCATCAAGTTTGGAGTTCATTTGGTTCTTCGAAATTGGTTTTAAATTCAGCAAAGACTAACTGTTTCTAGGAGTTAACTGAATCTTGGTTTCAGTTTCGTGTACCCACTTTGGAGAGTTGTATCTTCCTAACCAAGCTGAACCAGTCCATGATCCTTTAAGCAAAGTTGCAGACCAAGAGGTGTACAACAAACTTTGTTTAAGGTTCAAGAGCTAGTTTGGTCCCTAACTTAGTCAAACTGAGGACTCAAAACTGAACCTAATGCTGTTTTGGACCTCGAAGATTTGGCTAAGTCTGAGATTACAATGTCGATGATGATTGGCATTTCGCGTTCTCAGATTTTTGTTAAGCAACTCAAGTTTAGCCAAATATAAAAGTTGGAGTTTACATCATGAAGAAGGAATAGGAAGAAGTTGGATCAAATTTGACCACGTTTGGACCAAGTAATTGGAGCACAAGCAAAGCGAAGCTTAACCTTGATTAGTCATTGACCCTGTCAACTTGGAGCTTAATTAGCCGCTAATGGAGAGCTCTGATGGTCGGATGCCCTTAATGAAAGTTGTAGAGCAATTTGTGGGCTTCAACTTTGCTTTTGGGCCCAAGGTCCATTTTGGCCTGTAGCCAGTCCAAAACAGCGTCCCGCAGTGGCCACACCGTTGCCCGCCACGTGCTCGGGGAAATGCCCCAAAGGGTGACGCGTGCCTTGTGCGCGGTGGCCATGCTCGAGCTGAGTGTCCTACCTCCTTGCCACGCGCCCCTGCTCCTCCAGGCGGACGCCGAGCTCCGCAGCGCCTTCGTGCTTGCCCTCTCTCCTCTCGCCATCATCTCGCTCCCTCCACTTCGCTAAGCGTGACGCGCGCCACCCATGGCCGCCGGGCCGAGCTCCATGGCTGTCGTCGTTCCTCCACCCCCGAGCACCTCACAGCCCTACAACTATCGTCACCACCTTCGGCATGCCATGCCGAGCTCGCAGCGCCCCTTCCCCAACTCTTTCCACCGTCGTAGCGCCGCCGTCGGCGATGCTGCTACGGGTGGCCCACGCGCGCGTGTGGGCGGGTCATCTTGGGCCATCTTCGGCCGAGCCGAGGCCACCCACGGGTGCGCGCTGGTCTCCTGGTGCTCCCCTGCCATTTCCCTGATGCCGACGACGACATCACCGGCCGGAAATCGGCTGGCCGACGATCCTCCTCCGCCTCCTCTGTTCTGATTCGCGTGAGGGACCTCACGTAACAATTGGAACAAGTGCAGGGGGCTAACTGCAAAGTCATGGCTCATGTGAATAGTGGCTAGAAGGACTGCTTCGCTGGAATTTATTTTCCTAGAAGTTCGGGGTCCTCGGTGCAAGTTTGTTTTTCTTTTATGGCTGAAAATTTAGAAAATCATAATAAATTGTAGAAAAATTGTAAAATAGCAAATGAGGACTTTTTGGAATCCTTGTGAGTAGATCTACGCATTAGAAAAATCATAAAATTTATGACTCAGGTTTTTGCATGTCCTCTGGGTAGATCTGAATGATTGTATTTTTGGCTCATTTAAACATGGA